CACCTAAACAAAATTCATATTCTATAAAAAAAATATGCAAAAATATCAACATTTTAAAATTGAGTTTAAATAAAAAAATAGAGGTAAATTTGCTTACATAAAGTGGAGAATCCTTAATGAAATTAGAATTAGAATACGAATGCTGATAAATTGAATATTGTGGTGGCTAAATGTGTTATCAGAGGTTGAATTATATTGAGATTAGGGGAATAGGGGGTGCCTGCTTGTTGCAGAAAAAATACATGAGAAAAAAGCAAGAATGGAAGGTAAGGGAGAGGATGGTTAATCGCTAGATCATAAATTAAATATCATCGATGACTTTACTGACAAAATGATTTTGTTAGTAACTACATTGGATATGCTATTAGTAAAATACAATGTCACTATATAATTTGCCATTTTGAATCTTACTATAATACCACTAGTAATTCCCTCGATATAGACCATTTGAATTTTTTATCGGTTTTTACTAATAAATACAATGAAAAAAAATTATATCAATAAATATTATTGTAATATATTAACAAAAAAACTTCATTATTATTTTTATTTATATTTATTAACTTTTTATTGGAGGTGTAGAATAATGAATCAGGCCCACTACTAAATTGGATCTAGGAATTTGTTTACGACTGCCTTAAGCCACAAAGAAGAAGAGGGAGAAGAGGGAGAGGGTGCATATCGACTATTAAACTATATAATTTTTATTTTTTGAAAATTTGTGAGAATCTCATTTTTAGTGACAAAGCACGTTGTTTTAGAAACTTGTGAGTTACGTGAACTCACAAACTTATTATTATAGTTGTGAATACAATTTTTAATAAATATGTTTTATAAGAAATAAAATAATTATTTAATTCTTCCATTAAAATGAACTTGTTAAGACTTGTATTCATCATTAATACAAGTTAAAATGAACTTGATAAGACATATATTTTATAAAAATATTAAAAAATTTAAAAAATATTTGCAAGGTATCATTAAAAATATATTTAACTTGTCTTTAAAGTATAATTGATGATATCCTAAGTTTAAAAAGATTTGATTAATGATCTTTTAAAAGAAAATCTTTAAGTATAGATAATGATATTTGAGAGTATTTTATAATCTGTTTTTGTAGGATTAATGATTTCAATTTATAAAGGATAGGAGGATCACTTAGATAATTAGTAGTTATTACATTACATTATTTTATAAATTAATTGAATAAATCTTGTATTAATGGCTCAATCTTACATTAATAACACAAAACTATGCTTTTATTATTATTTTTATATGCTGGCCAATAAGCTTGAAATTCCTTATGGTACATGGTATTTTTACTAGCCATTTTTCTTTTTACAGTATGATTAGAAACATTTTCATAAAAATATTATTTTACACTATTATATATTTTTTGTAACAGTATGCTTAGAAAATATTTTTTGATTTCATCATATACACAACCATGTATTAGGAAGATAACAGGATGCAAATAAATGAAAATGGAAAGTAGGAAATTAAACAAACAAACGTGGCAAATGATGAGTGGTGGGTTATGAATCTCAAAGTTATTATTAATGATTGGCTGATGATGTCTAAAGCAAACAATTCCACGAACACAATGCCTTATAATATGATTAATATATAAATGTTCCGAAAGGACAATTCCACGAACACAAGTATGCTCATGTTTACTTTAAAGTTTGTAACCTAGACCGTCGTTGTAGACCACTTTTTCTTTTTTCATCTTCTTTGTTTTCTTTTTAAACATAGCCGAGAATAATATAAAAAATAATTCAAAAACAATATAGCTAGTACATTATTTTATCATAATAAAAGCTAGAATCGTAATAATTTTTTTAAGTTACTTTTTATATAAAAAAATATTAAATTAATATTTTTAAACAATTTTAACATGATAATATAAAAAATATTATTTTAATATATTTTTAATTAGAAGATATTCTTTAAAAATATTATACATCACATTATCAAATATAAACTAATAATTAATAGCATGACTGTAAATTTAAAGATCACTCATGAACAAGCACAAATTAATATTTTATTTTCTTTTATGCGGTTTAAATTCTATTCATGATTTTCTTTTCCTCGTCAATGATTTGTTCTTCTTTTGTGTGCGGTTCAAATTCACAGTTTTGTACCCGAAGCAGCTAAGCCGTTCCAATTATTTGAGCTATGGAATAAAGGGATGGGCATCTGGTTCTCCTGAGGGATGGGCTACAAATTAGTAGCAGAATAAAAAACAAAGTTATAGTAAGTTTCAGCGAGAAATCTTCAGATAATATGATGTCGGGATAAAAGTGAAACATGAACATGTAGTCATGGAAAAGATCATTCTTCTTTTTTCTTTTTTTTTAATTGTTCTTCTTCTTATCGTATTTGTGTTTGTGGTGAAATTATATTTTTTACCAATCTTTCTACACTTAATTAATTTATCTTAAGAATATGACAATATATTTTGAATAGTAAAAAAGATTTATTTTGTCATATTTTGATATGAAGTCTGAAGTATATCTCCTTAATCATTAAAAAAAAAGAATTACATATAAATTTGCTTTTTGAAGAAAAATTATTCCATTGTATAGGTTTATATACCAAAACAATATGATAACTGGTTCAATGAATTTAACTGCTATGATTGATAAGGGTTTTTAGCTGGCTGTTCAGAATGGTTTATGCTCAAAATTCTTCTTGTTGCAATGTGATTTACTCTTATAGGAAGCAGCTTTATGCTCATTTTGTGACACGGAACTGGCAAGCACAGACTATAGATTACTGCAATCTCTATTCACATGAAGACTATGGTACCAGTTCTAGTGGGGAGTTGTGTGGTGTATCCCAAAGACAACAAATAATCTGTTGTATGAATGATGGCCGTTGCAACTGGGAAGATGTAGAAATAATCAAGTTATTTTGAGTACATAAATCATAAGCACATACATGCAGTGAGTTTTATTTTTCTTCTCTCTTGCTATTTCAAATAATAATTAATCAGAAGCAAGTGTAAATAAAAATAATCAAATATTAAAACATAAATATAATATGGTGGGGACTATCTTGCCCAACTTTCCTATTAAAATATAAATATAAAAACTTTCTGGAGTTTGAGAGAAAATAAAACTTAATAATCATTAAATGATAAATGCTAACATTTAAGTTTTATTAGAACAAACTTGTTATGTATTTTCTATGTCTTTAATTACAATTATTTTTACAATATTTATAGATTCTTGTAATAAAGTCCTTCATCCAACTAATGTCTAATTTTATTGCACGAATATATAAGATTATGAGCAAGCTTTATTCGCGGTCATAATAATTCTGTTAGTATGACAGTACTTCATTGACATTACATTATTTACAAACCTTTATATTCTAGAAAATATTCTTTTTTTTTTTTATAAATTAACGTGGGTGTCCGGGCCAGCTTGCGCGCACCACGACTAATCCCACGGGCCCTGAAGTTAACGACCATGTAAGCCTCCAGTGGCCATCATATGAGCAACCAAGGACTCGAACCTGAGATCACAGAGGGAGCAAACCCCTTAGTTCCAAGTCTTTACCACTTGGCCACCACCTAGATGATTTCTAGAAAATATTCTTAATTATAAATGAGATGAATATTATAAAATAATAATATAGCATTCATAAATAAAGTTTTTACGAATCTCTTTTGTTTAAGTAATTTTTTACAAGAATCAATGAAAGGAACAAGGTAAATTTTGTTAATCCTTTCATCCAAATAAGCCAAAAGAAACACAGTATAAAAACAACAAACTCCCTATAAACCAATTTATAATTTGATGAATTTTAATGTAGCTTTATTTTTCTCAAATTTTACTGGCTTGTTTTAAGTATTTTAAGTTTTCTTATATATGATGGGATGTAATGAGATGGAATTGGATGATTCTTAAGAATGTTTGAATTTTAGCTTGGTGTGATGATTTGCGGGATGAATATAGCTGGATCTGGGGTTGGGGTTATATTGTGATGTATTCATTAGTTTTTCTGGTTTGTTCTTGCTGGGATTTTCTTGCTCTCTCATATCAGTTATCTTATATGGTGGCCGTTGTTTGTATTTGTGACATGGGAGCTGTCTGGAAGTGTATTTAAAGGAGAGAAATTGATATACTCTGTTATTCAACGCTATGGTTAAGGGAAAGGTCAATGATCTTGTGTGGCTGGTGTGTTCTTCAGTTAGATTGTTCCTTGGAAGAATTGTGCTGGAGAAGCGAGTTTGATGCAATTATAAAGTTCTCTTCTGGGAGAAACACAGATTTATCTCTTCTGAAGATGTTGGCTGCTGTGATTCTGGAGATAGAGATAGATGTGCTGGAGTTTTGCCAGATTGACACTGCGTAAGTGTGTTCGAAGAAACTTATATTTATCCTACTTAGAGGAAACATGGAACATGAATAAGAAATAATAGAAAAACAAGATTGACATAGTTTTTAGCAATTAATAACATTTCTCTTAATCTGGATTGGAATTTTCTCCTGTTATTTTATGTCATGTTTGATCATATTTACAGCATTTAAAATAAGTGCAAAATTAAGGTTTATAAGAATTGAAATAATGACTGATCATGCTTCCTTATTTCCTTTTGAAAATGAGAAGATCTAATACCAATCCGTTTATAGATATTGAGTTTAGATCTCTACCTTATGAACAAAAAAAGAAAAGGAAAAATTTGTCATTTTACTTTATTGTATTCTGTGCAATATAGGTGCAGCCAAACTTTTAAAAGGATTTCGATTCTATGGCTGCTGGATTCTAAAGTGTAGCATACATATAATGGCTATAATAGATCTTCGAATCATCTTCGGAATTCTAGGATTATTAAGTGAATTCAAAAATATACAGCGCATAGTAATAATAACAGTAGACTCAGAACTTTCTGCAAATAAAGCAAATCATAAGTGCGGACATTATAATATTCTTGAGCCTTCATATAACTTGGCAATCGACAAGTAAATCAGGCATTGCACCTTTGCTCTTCTATCCTCTAGTCACCATCGACAAGTTGCATTAAGCTTTTGTTTCTTGATCTCGAAAGGGAACCTTCTTCTTGTATTTGAATTATATTGCTCTCATGAGTGGCAATAATCACATCATGATGGTGACTAGAGGGGTGGTGTGCGGTAAATGTAGACACCGATTATCAATACCGACAACAAATTCCACAGAAGTTAAGTGCCCAACTTGCAATAAGATGAATCCAATTCCAACCTATGAACAATTCGGTAACAAAGATCGGAGCATCGAAAAGTTAATAGTTAAGGCAAAGGAAAAGATATCAGGCAATGATCTAATTAGTAGCAAAAAACCAGACTCGTTGAATAAGAAGCCCTCCCTCTTGAACATTCCGGGGTCATCATCATCGGAGACAAGACCAGCAGGGAAGCGAGCGCTGCTGATCGGGGTGACTTACAAAAGGAAGCACAAGCTTAAGGGGGCAATCAATGATGTGAAGGGCATGAGAGAATTGTTGATCCTCAATTTTGGCTTCAAGGAGGACAACATTCTGGTTCTGACAGGTATTTCTTATGGTCATAGGCAGGCATGCTTGTAGTTTCAATGTACATAGTTCAGATAATTGTTATTTCTTCTCTTATTTTCTGCTCCCACCTTTTCTTTTTCATTGCCTTGCTAATGAGTGAAAATCTTCCTTTCCATACGCATATGCTAATGCATGGGATGCAATCATATTTATGCGGGATCTACCGTGGGACTCCCATAACCCAGATGAATATTAGGGAAGGAATATCTTCGGATTGGAATTGTATTTTTTTGTGTGCAGGAAATGAAGAAAGGAAGGAATAAACCATAAATTGGATGTGGAAGAACAACGGTCAAAATAAATAAAATTATCAGAACCGTAGCACTTTCTAAAGTTTAGTCCACCATTTTTTATTTTTTCTAGCCTAGCTTTCTCCTCTTATATAATAATTACAATAAACATAAATCATTAAAAATAGAATTTACTTAAATGAAGAGAACTGTCAAATGCATAGCCATATTGTCTGCGTGCGTCCACCTATGGATGATTTCAACTATCACACAAGATGACTGCCCATCTGGATTTATTTTTCCTTTATTAGGAGGTTCGTTGAATCTTGGGTTACTAAATGAGGATAGTCTCCTGTAAAAATTCATTTGAATCTTTGGTATCTTAGTACTCTATGTAATTAAGTTGGTTGTCTGGAAATTTATTTATCGCAAAATACGTGAAGAATAGTTAATGCTTTGTAATTTCTTGCACTACAAAATGCAGAGCAGGAGATAGAACCAGAACTAATTCCAACAAAGAAAAACATCATGAAATCCCTGGAATGGCTCGTGAAGGGCTGTCAGGCTGGTGACTCCCTCGTGTTCTACTTCTCCGGCCATGGCTTAAGTCAACCAGATTTTGAAGGCGATGAGAGAGATGGGTTTGCCGAAAATATTTGTCCGGTGGATTTCATGACCGAAGGCATGATCGTTGACAATGATATTAATTCAACCATTGTTTGGCCGCTCAAAAAAGGTGTCACTCTTCATGCAATTGTCGATGCCTGTCACAGCGGAACTGTCCTTGATCTTGAGCATGTCTACAATAGGTAAGAGTAAGTTTCATCCCTTTTGCGATTGTTATAAAGCTTGCAAGGTTCGATACACCACCAAGCTTCAGCTGCTCATTTATTTGTTATCCTGTTTTGCGTGGTTTCACCTTATAGGCTGAAAATGCATATTTCTTCTTTGCAATAGAAACAAATGGGAAGATAACAGCCCTCCATCTGGAAATGCTAGGAAACATCCAGATGGTGGATTGGCAATATCTCTCAGTGCTTGTCTTGATAATCAAGTTGCTGCTGATACCACCGTAAGATATGCACTAGTTCAATAACATTCTCTCTATTATCTACCTACAAATTTCAATATTCTGATGTGATAAAATTAATATGATTAATTGTTTTATCTTCAGAGGAAATATTTGAATTAGCTAACTCGTCTATTTACATAAATTTTCAGGCATTCACAGGAAAGACAATGAATGGAGCTATGACCTTCCTTTTAATTAAAATTATGAAGAAATATCACGGAGTAACATATGGTGACCTACTTGATATGATGCATGAAGAATTGGACAAAGTTAATGAAAGCAGATGCTTTGCTGAAAAAATCTTTAAAAAAATAACGAAAAACATGTTATTGCAGGTCATCTTCAATCATAAACTTACTGTTTCCTAGGTTTAGAAAACATTTTCATATGAATTCTCATAGTGTTGTTTGATGTGTGCAGAAGCCTCAGATTTCAGCTTCCAAACCATTCGATGTTTACAAGCAACATTTTGTTTTGTAATCGTTAGAGCAAGAAACTAAAATAACAGCATGTCCATGACTAGCGAGCCTCTGATAATAAGCTAGGAAAGGGGAAAAACATTTTCCTTCAATTTCTTGATTGGCCTATTAGGCAAATCTCTATTTATCATGCATTTGGCAATCAGTGAATATCCTTAACCTTCCAAGCGAACGTTTTGTTCTGGATCAACTCTGTGTCCCTAGATCGTTGAAGAGTTCGAAACTGAACTTGTTTGCTTCTGGGTCCTGATTGTGTATTCTATATATGTGGAATAACATATTGTTGGTTAAAGCTATTTATTTGTGAACTTTTTATTTTTGAGCGTCACAAGATACAAAAATTATGACATAAATATAGCTCTTATTGTGAATCCATATAACATGATTAATCGGGTTCATATATATATATATATATATATATATATATATATATATATATATATATATATAGATCATGTCAGTCAATATAATAATTTTAGGTTAAGACAAATCCAGTTTTGGTCCATGCTAATCTAGTTAATTTCAATATTTAATCTCCTAAAGTTTATGAAAAATTCAGTTTTTTCTCAAATGTTTCAATATCTTTCGTGAAGTTTTAATGTTAAATCAACAATCAAATTTGTTTTCGGTCATTAAGCTTTTAAACTTCGATCAAATAGAATCTTTTATTTTCTCAAATCTTTTACAAATAATTTAATGAGACAAAAACTTCTGTTTTCAATGAAAATGTCCAGCTAATGCCATATATACAATTTGTATTTAAAAATATAAATACAATAACTAGATAGAATAGTACTAATATTAACAAAAAAAAAAAACTAAAAGAGATGGTATTTTTTAATCTTTTAATTTTTTTAATTATATTTTTTTAATTTCCTCGTTCAATGATGATTTAATTGAGAATTATGTTTTATAAATTTTTTTGATTTACTTTATAACAGGTTATTTTAGTCTTATGTTCCAAATCATGAGTTTGACAGGTCAATTGAGTTAACTTTATGTATTTTGTAGTTTATTTTTAATGATTTTGTCCTGATATCATGACATAAGTTACTGTTATAAATTAATTTGGACCCCACATAAAAAAAGATAAAACAAAATTCAAAAAATAAAAAAATAATAGAAGAAAACATATATATATATATATATATATAAGAAGGGTATACGAGAATGCCTAGAGAATTGTTGAAGGTTAATTGAGGAGGATCAAATATGCAAGACTGAAAAATCTAACAATATAGTTTTTACTAATAAAGGCCCTATTGATAAAAAAAAATCAATTTGAGGAGAAAATTTCAAAATCTAATGTTTATGGGCTCAATTAGAATTTTTCCAAGTTTAATTGCAATGAAAAAATAATTTTTTAAATTAATTTAGACTTTAATTGGAAGGAGTTAAAATTTGGGGAGAATTGAAAATTTTAAGAGTTAATTTTATCAAATCAGGGGTTTAATTACATAAATATGATAGTTTAGTCAGTCAATATAATAATTTTAGGTTAAGACAAATCCAGTTTTGGTCCATGCTAATCTAGTTAATTTCAATATTTAATCTCCTAAAGTTTATGAAAAATTCAGTTTTTTCTCAAATGTTTCAATATCTTTCGTGAAGTTTTAATGTTAAATCAACAATCAAATTTGTTTTCGGTCATTAAGCTTTTAAACTTCGATCAAATAGAATCTTTTATTTTCTCAAATCTTTTACAAATAATTTAATGAGACAAAAACTTCTGTTTTCAATGAAAATGTCCAGCTAATGCCATATATACAATTTGTATTTAAAAATATAAATACAATAACTAGATAGAATAGTACTAATATTAACAAAAAAAAAAAACTAAAAGAGATGGTATTTTTTAATCTTTTAATTTTTTTAATTATATTTTTTTAATTTCCTCGTTCAATGATGATTTAATTGAGAATTATGTTTTATAAATTTTTTTGATTTACTTTATAACAGGTTATTTTAGTCTTATGTTCCAAATCATGAGTTTGACAGGTCAATTGAGTTAACTTTATGTATTTTGTAGTTTATTTTTAATGATTTTGTCCTGATATCATGACATAAGTTACTGTTATAAATTAATTTGGACCCCACATAAAAAAAGATAAAACAAAATTCAAAAAATAAAAAAATAATAGAAGAAAACATATATATATATATATATATATAAGAAGGGTATACGAGAATGCCTAGAGAATTGTTGAAGGTTAATTGAGGAGGATCAAATATGCAAGACTGAAAAATCTAACAATATAGTTTTTACTAATAAAGGCCCTATTGATAAAAAAAAATCAATTTGAGGAGAAAATTTCAAAATCTAATGTTTATGGGCTCAATTAGAATTTTTCCAAGTTTAATTGCAATGAAAAAATAATTTTTTAAATTAATTTAGACTTTAATTGGAAGGAGTTAAAATTTGGGGAGAATTGAAAATTTTAAGAGTTAATTTTATCAAATCAGGGGTTTAATTACATAAATATGATAGTTTAATGGAGAATTGGGTACTTTATTGAACAAATCCAAAACCAAAGACCAAATTGAAAAATACATAAATACAGGAGCTGAAATTGACTAAATTAAATGCCAAATTAAAAAATTAAAAGTTGTTTAGTTAATTGAGAGTCAAAATTCACAAATTCAGAATCAACGATCAAATGAAAAAGACAGCTAACTTAGGGGTTGACAATTGTGTTTGTCGGAGGTGAAATTGCAAGAAATTAAGAGTTTAAAGACAATTAGGAGTGCAATTAAAAGAAATTAGAATAACAGAGACTTAATTGAAATTTGCAAATTCCAAATCAAAAACGCTAATCTTACCTAAATGATGCATCATTCAAACTTATAGAAGAGAAGGTGAGTGACACGCCATTCAATCTACTTGGCCTCTGTTTTTGACAATTTTAGCTGATCAAATTAACAACTTCAAAAGAATAAACGTGAAGCTACAAAACTTTAAAATAAATAAGGTCGGATTTAAATAAAATGTATGCATCCGCTCTACCAACTTCAAGTGGTCACAAGCGACAATGACATTATAAATAGCCCGAAAAGGCCTTGAAAGTAGACAACTCAATTAGCTCTGACAATTTTAGTTGGTTGAGTTGGTAATTTCAAATGAATGAATATGGAGCAACAAACTTGTTGCTATCCAATTTTTGAATCATATTTTTATAATTTTTCAAAAAAAAAAGGTTTACATGTAGAGATAACATAGAACATCAAGACTAATATTAAGAAAACAATATGTCAAGGAGATAATTATTGAATCATATATAAATACTACATATAAAATACCATAGATATATGATATGATTCGTGCTAGTTATGGAAAATAATTATTCCAATATAAAATACTATATATATAGAATTTGTTGGAGTTGTTATAAAAGACAAACTCTACAATAATTATTGCAATATTTCCTTAAATAGTATGTATAAAAATATTTTATATAAATAAACCTTCAGTCCATATACAGAGAGGGGAAAAATATTCACAAGGGGGCAATGCTTTAGAAAACGGGAGCCAAACACAAAAATACCAAAAAAGATTAAAAAAAACCCTAAACCTGTTTCTCTTTCTTAGCTACAACCCCTCCTCTCTTAAAAAATTTTAAAAAAAAAGCACCCACCCGCCACCCCTCATCTTCTTCTCCTAAGTCAACAACCAGTGAGCCCCTCCAGCTCTCCCTCTCTACCACTCTACTCCCCGGAGCTTTGCTACATCGTCCTTCATATCCCTCTCAACAAAGCCTCCACCAACACTCCCTTCTCCCCCATTCCACCTTTTCTCTTTGGTTTTCTTCTTCCCTTCAGCCGACCAAAGAGCACACAAGCCCTCCGCCACACTAACCCACGACCAAACCTGCCGCCCCACTCTCTTCCTTTGTTTCTCTCCCAAACAAAACAAACTTACAGCCCATCACTTCCCACTAACTCAGTCAATCCACAGACTCATGATTTTCACTGTCAATTGCGGCGCCGCATTTTTCATCCAGCACCGACCAGACCCGAAAGAAGCCTAGTCACCGGCAACCCCTTGGTCTTGCCGCCACCTGAAACAAAGATGAATGGGAAAGAAAAAGAAAAGAATAGATCTGTAGAGAGGAAAACTAATCTAAAACGGTGAAGAAGAGAGAAAAGAAAAAACATATCTAAAACAAAGAATAAAACTTAAAATCAACTGTTATTTGTGCGTTTTACTCTTTTTGCAAGTGACAGTGATCTTCACTGTCAGCGAGGGCAATGAAGTGGGGAGGAAGCCGTTACAAATCTTCCTTGTTATTTTTTTTCCAGCGACACATGAATCTACGTGCTACCACTATTCCTACATTCGCAGAAGTGTTGCTTTGCAATTCCTGAATATTTAAAGGTCTATTTTACAATTTTTGAATTGTATATTATATGTTTAAATTTGTTTTGAATTTTTGTTATTTGTAACTATATATGGGTGTATTAGAAAAACATAATAAAAGAGAATGTATGCGTGTTTGTACTTTTTTATGTATGTTATTGAATTATAAAATCAAAAATATTAAAAAGATTTAATGTTTTAATTTGCATATGATCAACTATTTTAGGGGTAAATAAAATCATGTTGTATTTTCCATAAAAAAGTAAGAACATGTTTCTATATATTTTTTAGGATTTAATAACTCATTTATTAAAACCTTAAGAATTTGATTACTATGTTGTTTTTTAACTTTAATTGCGATTAACTATGATGTATGTTGTTTTACAAAGAAAATATAAAAAAATATTTTTTGTATGTTGCATGGCCAATACCATAACATGTTTTAAATGTTTTTTATTAAAAAAATAAATATTTGAAGTTTTAAAAATGTGTTTTCGCATGGATTTCTTAAACACAGAAAAAATATTTTCTTGCATTGTGAATTTTACAACATGTTTATAAAATTCCAAAGGGTATTAGCCAATGTTCCAAAAAAATATAAAAATCTTATTTGGGGGGGGAGAATTCATCTATTACTCGCTGTTAATGTTTGGATAAAAAAATCTCTAAGGGATGAATATCCAAAATATTATTGGGAATAATTTGCTATTATTTGTTGTTAATGTTTGGATATAGAAGCCCAAGTGGTTAACATCCAAAATATTTTTATAGAAATAATAAGTCACCACACATCAGTAAAAGAAACCTTAATTATAATCGACAACATTTTAATTTTTTTTATTCCACGGTTTACGATTCGTAAAGGTATAAAATACTAAGGCAAAAACAGGTTTTTAAAGTGCCTTAGATTTCTAATTTTTTGTTCCTCTTCCTTGTGATTTATGAGTCGCAAACTCTTAAAATAT